CTGAAATATAATATGATGGAAAATCCACAGGTTTTAAAGTCAGACACACCTGAATTCTAATCTTAAATATGTCTCCTATTACTTGCTGAATTCATAATTCTCTCACTCTCTATCTTTAACCTATAAAATATGGAGGGTAATTTTGAGAATTTGAAAATCATTCTATTAAAAAAATATTTTCCAAGTACCTACTCTATCCATCAAGATAGTCTGGGTTATGCTGTAGCAACAAATAGCTTAAAATATTTGGTGACATCAAGCAATCAAGCTTTGTGTCTCAGTCACGTTCTGTGCCCATTACTAGCTGGCTCACCGCCATCCTCACTCAGTGAGCCAGACTAATGAAGAAGCCCCTACCAGCAATTTGCTGGGCAGAGCAGTTGAGAGAAAATGGGAGAACTCCAGCAAGTCTCACAACAGCGATTAAGTTCATGGCTCAGGAGTGATACCCAAATGATCGGTCAACACTGGTCTCTTGGCTCTACACCTTACAAAGAGTCTCAGTGGTTGTCCTCTCCTCCTGTGTGCCCATAAAGGGAGGACTAGAAAAACATGTAAATGCTGCCACTGGGAACTTTATTTTTATGACCCAGACTCTGAAATGGGTATGGCAGACCAGGCAATGTCTGGACCCAAGAGGGATCACATCCATTTGTGCCAATGTTTTTGTGTTCCTACCTCACACGGAACTCACAGATTCCGTGGGGAGCCTGGGAGTTAAGACATTGAGAACTGTTTCCTTTGCATGTCTCCCTGGCAAGCATTCGAGAGTCCCAGCTCTGTTCCTGTCAACTACAATTTTCTGAAATAGCGGATGGTGCAGTCTGCCATCCCCAAGCGCACTCAGGAATGAATGGAGAGATTGCCTTCAGGGAGATCTTTATTCCTGAGGATTTTCTTGCCCTTGTGTATTTTTGCTCCTGAAATGTGATGTCAGTGTGGCTAGCATCTCCTGGGTCACGTCCACAGCATTAGCTGTAATATGGCTTGTGGAGGTCCAGAAAACTGGAACCTGACTACTTGGAGGAGCCACGTGGGCTCATAAACAGTCATTATTAGTGAAGAATGACTGACTGGCTATTTCATGACAGTTTTTTGAAGTACTATTCAAATTTATCCTATATACACTTGAGGATTCTTCAGTCATGTCTTCTGATTTACCACTTGTCTTTGTTTTTAATACTAAGGAAAAACATAGATTGAACTGATTGACTGGATAGTGGCTTTAATAGTGATGGGTGCAGAGACATTAACAGTTATGGTCATGCTGTTTTGGAGCTCCACTTTGCTTGTCTTGGAGAGGCTTAGAAAAGGCACCAAAGAACATGACGAGACAACAACTACCAAATCATGACAGGAACTCAGCCTTGCGAATATTGTTCTATAATGTTCCATTTGCTAAAATCTACATTTATTTCCACCATATTTCTTGATGACAGTGTGGCCAAACCAATAGCTCTTTAGCTCATGCCACTGCTTTCAGATACCCTAACGAGGGGAAGGAAGGGAAAAGATGACTGACATTGATTGAGGTCCCAAGCACCTGCCAGGTGTTTCACACCTATGTGTTCTTCTAAAATGCTCACAACAAGCTTCAGAGGTAGCTATTCCCTCCCTCCACATATGCATTTTATAGTAGAACAATCCGAAGTTCAATAACTTGCCCAAGGTCATGCAGCCTTCAGAGTCAGAAGTGTTATTTGAATCCATGCTGTACTAAAACTCACGTTTATTCTGTTGACCAAATTAACTTCTCCAGTAGTTAGTGTCATAGATGGTCAAATGACTGGATGGTTTCTTCTCCTAATCTCATTTATCCCTTATATTTGTATAATAGTTTATTATTTAAAAAATGCTCTCATATTAATCATATCATTTTAGTCTTAACATAGCCCTATAAAGTATGTAAAACTAGTATCCTGTCCCCATTGTATACTATCAAGAAATGGATCAGAAAGTTAAGTAACCTGCCCAAGGTCAGTCAGGGCTGACTCTAAAGCCAACATTATTCCTCTCTTACATCTTCTCTTTTCTGGTCACATGGACCATGAGAGTTTATTTTCATGACAGCTGAGTGTGATCGATTCAAACCTGGGCAACTATATGGGTATTGGCCACAAGGCTTATAATGAGCTGAGACAAAGCAGTTAGCCACAGGTTATAATGCCACTGTGGTGCCATGACAAATGACAAGGAGGTTGGAGTAATGAAATTTTATGCGTGTTAAGAGACCACATCTGAGGTCGAGCACAGCCACATTGACCCCTGGAGGAATCACAGTGAAACATCTGGGTGAGGGTCTCCACCGGGTAAGGGTCTGTGCATGCTAGCAGGATTAGGAAGATCTCTCTGAAACGGTGATTATGTTGGCAAATGTGTGCAGCCTCAGATAAGGACCAAATATTTATTCTGGCAGAGATTAAATCTTTTCTTTCCCTGAATCTATTATGGATCTTGCAGAGAATCTGCCCAAGAATATATGTCGCTGATCAGCCAGCTCACTGAGCCAGAACTGTACTTTGCCACTGCTTTGGCTGAAAAGCTGCAGAAGGCTGGTTAAAGGTCTCCTCTCTCTCTCTCAGCTGTTCTCCATCCAGGATTAATTAGTGACTCAGAGATGAGCTGAATCACCAACAGTCCTTTCCATGCATCCAGGATTTATACAGTGACTTCTCATTGAAGAACAGTGGTGCAGTGAACAGCCCACATTTGTGGGGTGGGCAGAGGAGCAATAGTATCTGCAGTCATGGTTTCTTAATTCCCCAGTCCTTTGATTCTCCTAAACAGATTCTGACTCAAGTTACTATAGCTTTGCTCAATTAAGGATGAGTGTAACTTGACTTGGTACCAACATACACACCCTTGGAAATGAATGTCAGTTTTTTAAGTAAGAAAAAGTCATACTGTCATTTCTGAATTCCTAGAGAATTAAGGAGTAAGAATAAAATGGATCATATTATTAATTATGGGTATAAAAGAGGCACAAAAACCTACCATCAGGAACATTTATCTGTGCATTCTATTTAACTACTAGGAACTTTGTCCAGTGCTGAGGATGTAGAGGTGGCAGTAAAACAGAACAAAACTGAGAACATAGTGTCACAGTAAACAGGGAATTAAGAAATCATGAGAGCATGTAGCTACCCTTGGGGAGGCACCCACATCACTTTTCTCAGAGAACAGAACATGGGAATCGCAGTCATCATTTCCACATGGCAAGCGTGCTACAAGGCACAAAGGAAGCAGAGCTGTTCACCCTGTTTCTCAGTACCCCTGCATACTCAGTACCCCTGCATGCCCCAGCCTTTTTTGATCAGCCTAGATTCCTAAATGCCTTCTGAGGTCAAGACTCCTGGGTATCTCCCCATCCTTTTGTTGGGTATATGATGTGTTCATATACTAAAGGAAAATTGGAAAGTTGAGAAAAGCCTGTCTTATGAAAAAATAAGTGCAGCATATGAAACTGTATGAAGACCAGTGCCTAAAATCTCACCAGAAGTCTTAATTTATAGACCTTAAGCAAAATAAGTGCTTGATAAACATTTTATTTATGTACTAAATGAATAAATAGATGAACCAAATTATTAAATCTTAGATTCAGTAAAACCTTTCCTACATCTCAGTTCATATGGATTCTGGACCTTTGTCCCCATACCTTCATCTTCCTTCTTTTCCTCCTTCCCTCCTCTTCTTCTTCCTCACTTTCCTCTTTTCCCTTCCCCTCTGCCCTGTTCCTCCTCCTCCTCTTTTCCTTCCCGTTCTCTCTCTCCCCCTCCCCCTTACTTCCTTCTTTCCCCTCTTTGTTCTTCTCCTATTTCTTAAATTAGGAAACAGAAGGCCACAGATTCTGTGAACAAATATTGTGACTCAGTCTCTTAGAGCATCTGAATTACAACTAAATTGTATTATATTTCAATATCCAATCTAGTGCTTAGCCAATACATCAGATTATTCCTTTACCTATTCCTTCTGCCACCCTACATGCTGTGATACATTTTCAAGAGAGTAGGAGAGATTGATTATACCAGATCAGTAAGGTTACTTTCATTTTATGTGTCATTGGAATACTAATTCCAAGTCTTAGTTGTAACCAATTACTAGAGGAGAAGAGTAAGAGTTTTAATAGCATTATTACTTATGCTTCAGTGTTTCACTTCCTAGGAGGTAGTGAATCACCTCCTAGGTGGTGAAGGTGGTGATGATATCACCACCTCCACCTTCACCAGCATGACAATCTTCATCTTCATTGCCATAATGTTAATCTTCTGGAATTCATTGTGTTTTCCCTCGCAGAAGTCTTTTTGAGTCACAGAGGTCTCTTCTGCTGTGTAACAGAAAGCTGTAGCACTGAATGCTACATCCTTCTTTGGATTAACTTTAGGAATAGGGCTGTCAGTGTGGGGAGGGTGGCAGTCATCTGACTCTGACAACCCCAGCTTGGTTTTCACTGGCCTCTACATCTTCTCTGCATTGTAAACCTACAGAAAGCTATCATCTGGAGTTGGGGCACAATGCCAGCTCCTCTGCCATCAACTCCTAATGATTCTGTACCCCTCCCCTTGGCCTTGATTACCCGAAGTGTGCGAGTGGGTTTGTGTTCCGTCTTTTGCCCTACATCTGAATTGTGAAGTGCTCTAGACCCCAATGTCTTATTATCCTCTCCTAGAAGACAGGCCTGACTCACCACACAGAAGTGAGCTTTGCTGTGTTACTACACAGGTGTTAGGTAGTTCTGTGAATCCAGTGTTAATATCCTTTGAGGGCTGTCAAATGATGTAACCTGTGTGGTGCAGCCTGTGAGAGCAATGTGGGCAGCTTGATACCATTAGTTTTTATGTTTGGGATGAAAGCCCATGGAGAAAAGTGGGATACTATTATGACTTCAGGTGAATGCCTCCCTCTGGGTGCCTACACGTTTATTGTCAGTTGGCAGATCAACATGAAAGAGAGAAAACCTTGTGGTTTGTGATAACTGTATCTTTTGTGTTTCTTTATCATAGGAGCAGGGAAAAATTGGAGTTGTCTTCAACATTGGCACAGTGGACATCTCCATCAAAGAAGAGAGAACTCCTGTGAATGATGGCAAATACCACGTGGTGCGCTTCACCAGGAATGGTGGCAACGCCACACTCCAGGTGGACAACTGGCCAGTGAATGAGCATTACCCCACAGGTACACGTTTTACTCTCAATGACTGTACTCTTTTTGCTTTCCTATTCTTATTGCTAAATGGTAATTTTTCTCATGACCATCGCTAAATCATAAAACACTAACTATTAAGTGTACATTTCTGTTTTTTTGTTGTATGAGAAAGTTATTTCCTTTGGACCTGGACAGTGTAGGGACCTTCTGGAGACTTACTAACTATGCACTGAACACTTTTTGTCAGACTGACTACTACTGCCTGACTGGCTCATACCTAAGGCAATTACTGTAGGATTTCCTGGGTACTACAAATGATGAGCAATGAATGGGGGAAAGGCACCATTTTTATCATGAACTTTATTGATCATCGTGGAATAATCAACTTGAGATTTGAGCTTTGAGATACTGTTTAGTTAGGTGTGGTTGAAGGCATGCATGGCCAGAGATTGCAGAAAGACCGTGAAAGGAAGTTGACTGAACTTGAATGGATAAACAACATCAGAGGAACAGAGAAAAAGTAAGGGTGGGATTTCATTCATTTGGTTGACTTTGCCAATTTTCTTTTCACTTGCACTAAGCCCGACTTGATATTCAGAGGTTGGTCCGAGTAGGTGGGAGGGAGAAGGGTTAATCATCTGTTTAAATGTTATAGTCAAGGAGCATTTGCCAACAAACTCCCAGAGCCAGATGGCCGAATCAAGGGCGATGAGAGGGAAGGTTGCCTTCTTTAAAAGAGATCATTTAAATAATCCCTTAGCCACCCCCCACCCCCACCCGCTCACTTCTCCCATGAAAAGAGCTCTGAACTATGATCATAAATGTTTCAAAAATGGAAGGGAAAATACTGTGGCGAAGGGCCTTTGCTCTGCAATTGTATTATCACCTGGTGGATACAAGAACTCAGAATAATGAACTTTTCGTTAATGTGGGTGTGATGCTGTGTCTCACTGTCGGTCTCCGACACTCCAAACTCCCCATAATTTCCCCATTTTTATCCTCCCACTTCCTTTATAGTAAAGTGGGCGCACAGATGAGAAAGCCAGAGCACATTTCCAGAAGTTTAAGAGCTGTTTAGCGAATAATCATTGTGGCCCAAGAATTTTGAATGACACGAAGGCTGTGATTATGTTTTCATGCCTACCTCAGTATTATTTTTTAAGCCAATCAGAAATAACTATGTTACTGGGATTTCCCCTACTAGCCGGTCTTCCTATGTCTGGTTTAAGAATTACGGGCGCATCCACAAGCAGCATGTAAGACTCCCAGGTCACCGAAGCAGAAAGCCGCACCTGCCCCTTTATCTGACCTCTCAGTCTCCATACAATATCCAGGTCAGCCCTCGCTGGGAGTCTCTTGTCATACTCTTAGCGCTTCTTAAATTAAGTCACAAAAATGACTTCATGCATTTATCTTTGAGCCTTTGAAGCGAGCCAGAGGTTTTAACAGCTACTTTGAATTTTTATCATCATCCAAATTCACTAGACACCAATAGACCTGATTTTTAAATGCTTCTTGCTTAAACTCTGGGGGGTGGGGGTTGCGGGCAAATCAAAATAGCTTCAGATCTTAAAAGCTGCTTATTTGCTCATAGGAAAAATCAGTCTCACGCCATGCGTATTATCATTGGCCCTGCTAGTGCTGCTGTAGGGTTTGTTATGTTTTTATTAGGAATTTCAAAGATTTCTAAATTGATATTAACCACTTGCCCTGAGCCAATATAGAATCCAAGAGTTTTTGCTGCCAGCAGTGAAAAGGCTCTTTAATAGTAATTTTAAAGCCACAGATATGCAGGAAAACCAGTGACCCTTGCTGTGTGTCTACCTCTTTTTATCTTTTAGTTCCAAATTATGGGTTGCTTCCCATGTTTTCAAAACAAAGAAAAACCCTTCCTTAATGGCATTGCTTCACACAGAAAGCTATTACTACTAGTATTTGTCAGTAACTGTTATTTAGTAATAATAAGTGTCATTGTTGTAAGACGTGATACAGGATAGCAGCTATGAGTATGGGCTTTGGAGGCATCTAGCTGGAGGCGGGGTGTTGGTGCGGTCACCTGTGAGTCTAATGCAGGCTGGATGAAGACCTGGAAATGCTCTACATGCTGAAATATTTGGTTCCTCTCTCCACACATAATTCAACATACAACACTGAACCAGAAGTGTAAGAATATCTAACGGTTCTGATTTTTCTGCTTTGATGATCACTGATACTTTCAGAATATATCAGATTCTTTCTCCCCACATCTTTCTTCACTGTGTGCTCTGTTTTCTCGGTTCCCTAAGGGAGTGCTTTTTCCTCCTGTTTGGTAATCTAGTTCCAAACCTGAAGGAAGTTATTGAACCTCCCCAACATTTGTCTCCTAGTCTGTGAAATATTAGTAATGATAATATGTCCAGGGTTAATGTAACAATTATGTGAGTCAAACACATGCAAAATGCTCAACATAATTCTGGCTCAATTAAGTCAATATTCAATAAATGTTAACTATAAGGATTACCAAACATTATCTGGGCAGCATTTTTTTTTTACTATCACCTATGCACTCATACAGATTACTTCATCTTTGACTATAAATTGGGTAAAGTAGGTATTTTTACTCTACATTTCAAAGGTAAAAAGAGACCCAGGGAGAGGCTGTGTCTTTCCTAAGGTCACAGAGTAAAGAAGGGACAGAACCGAGACCAGAGTGTCCTTTCTCAGCTGGGCACAATTTTCACTATTGCTCCCACAGCAAATTGCGGGATGTTTTGACAAATACATAGGTAGAAACGAGCATGATTCTTTTTGGGTCCTCAGGTTTATTCTTTTTTTTAATTGTCAATTACAAAGATGAGTATCAATAACCACACATAGATGGCTCTCGCTCCTTGAGCTCTGCTAAAAGATTCATTTGTAATGAGTCCAACTATCTACTTGACAACAATGGCAATGTGCTTCTGTGAAGTAATTGAAAGAATACGGAGTGTTTAGGAGAGCTCTAACCTTACTTGGTTGCCTAGATTGGAAAGTGGTATTGGAAAGTGCAACATTCTAATTTTACACCCCACTCTTCCAAGACTTCCTAGGGGCGGCTCACCTTTGAGCTTTGGATACCTTACTTTCTCTCCAGCCTGCTTCCCTGTGAGACTAAAAGGATCCACTTAACAAAATGTAAAACATCTTTAGAGCAATCTAGCAATGCTTAATTAATCTATATTGAACTATAAGAGCAAAAATACCCCCTGTATCTGGGCCTCAGGGAACAAAGCCACTTTGACACAGTTTCTACAAAAGTGATCCATTCTCCTTTATCCAAGCCGTTCTACTTTATTGATGGTAATAAATATAAAAGCCATCAAAAGGAGTTCAGGGGTGCTCTTTGTCTATTGCTAGCATTGAAACAGTGAAGAAATGTGGAGTGGCTCCTATGGAATATTCACCTAAGTTATCTCATTGTGAAATTATTCTCTCGGGACATTGTTTCTGCTCAACAGGTCCCTGTGTATCAGGATGAATGGGTCAACCCCAGAACCTTCTCATGGGCATTTATGGGATTTTATATGGCTCTTCTGAAACATCCTCTGGTGAAATATTTAGAAACCGGTTGGGCACAGGGCATGTAGCATACCTGCTCTTTGTGAACCAGGAAGGATTCAAAATGAAAAGAGTTCTATAGCCATCGGAACCTTACATCACTTAATTCGGGGAGATAGAACTCAAAAGCACCTTCTTTCTTTGAACCTGAAAATAGAAAGGCTAAGGAACAGGAGAGGGAAATAAAAGAAGAGTCAGTCCCAAGCCAGTACCCAGACAGTGAGGAATGTTCTTTAAAAAGCTTCTGATTACTACTGCCTTGACACAATGCGGTGGTAGGGACAAGGGAGGGCAGGTGAGAGGGGAGTTGAGCGTGAGAAATTAATTTTAGCCCCAGCTCTAGGCCCCCTGGGAGGCTGAGCTGCCCGGGATTGTGAAAGATCCTCTCTCTGCTGTGAGTGGGTGGCTGGTTGTGTCATCGGGGCTATTAGCACCCTGAGCCCCACTGTGCAGGAAGGCCTTTTCAAGTCCGAGCCCAGCTTCCTGGAACTGAAGACAGATAACTCTCATGTCTAGGACTTTCCATCTTCCCGTGGCAAATGGAGCTGAGGAGAGCAGGGTCTCACTTGCTTGTTTGTTGTTTTCCTCTTGACACTGCATGCCAAGTCCGTTGAAGGGCTCTTGACTGGAATTCCTTCCTAAATCGATGAAATACCTGCTGATGACCCCAGCTTAAATCCTGTTTGATGACCCAATTCAGAACATGAAAGGGATGTAGAAATGGCTCCCCTTCTGGGACCCTAGGTTAGAAAACTCCCTGCAGTTATATGAGTGTGTCAAATTCCACAAAATCTTGTCTTTATAGGGCTTATCAGTACAGACATTGTTGTAGTGCTTACTGGTGCTCAGCATGCCTTCCCATGCATTACACCATTTGATCCTTGCTCTATCCCATCGGGGAACTGGATTTGGTATTATTATTACTGCCATGCCCATTTTAAGGTTACGTCATTGAGGCTCTGAGAGTCTAAATAATTTACTCAATACCACACAACTTTCAGGGGGAGAGCCAAGATCCCTGTTGTGATCCTCAGACCATGCTATCTCAAATTCCCTGAGCATTTTTCTATTTCTCAGAGTCACACTTTTATCGATATCTGATACTAGGCTTTTAGGTTATTACTTTTGTTTATGTTTTTCCATCAAAAGTATTATCAAGTAGAAGTCCCTGCCAGACTAGTTTAGTTAGTAGTGTTTCTCAGCCTTGGCAGTATTGACATTTTGTGCTAGATGATCCTTTGCTGTGACAGGCTGTCCTGAGCATTGTAGGAAGTTTAGCCACATCCCTGACTCCACCAGCTACAAGCCAGTAGCCTCTCCAGTACCAAATGTCCTTCGTGGGGGGCAAAATCATCCCCAGTTGGGAATTACCAAGTTAGAGAAAGCCTCCAACATATTTCATTCCAAATGCTTATTGTCCTCTTACAGTTTATACAGTATACATGGGGATAAGA